TGCCAGCCTCTCCTTGCTCCTCCTTCCTCTCCTGCCCCATCTCTCCTGGCTCTGCCTCCAACCTGCAGGCAGCACCAGACCCCAGGAAGTTGCCAGGCAGGGAAGATTGGTAGTCTGGTTTATCTCCTTCCCTTTCCTTTCTCACTGTCCCTTACGTTCACCTTTTGCTTCCGCCCGCAGCTGCCCACTGCTAGGCCTACCCTTCTTAGCAGGTAAACCCCAAGCTTAATCACCCCAGATGACAGTAAGGTAACTGAGAATCCAGTGGACGGGGGATGGTAAGAAAGTCAGGGCTCAGTCTCCATATCAGCTCAGGCAAGGCACACAGAGAACAGGACACAATTCATGGTTCCTTTCACCCATAACCCAGCTTTTTGCCTTTCCCAAAGGAGCTGATGTCACCATTAGGAGGACTCAGCTCCTCTCTCCTGGTCATTCATTTCCACTAGCTCTGACAGCATCTGACTCCACCCCCCCATACACCTGCTTCCTTTCCTGCTTTCTGTTTCCTTGGGTAATAAACTTGGGACAGAAGCTGGGCATGATGGTTCAAGTCTATAATCCCAGCAATTGGGAGGCCAAGGCAGAAGATCGAAAGTTCAAATGCAGACAAAATACCTTGGTACAGAGCCTGTGGCATGCAGGTCTCAGGTCCCATGCAGGCATCACCTGCCCCACCTGGCATGTGCCCATCCTTCAGCACTGTCCCTCATCTCTCCAACCCCCACAACCCAAGTAGTCTTTGAAGCCCAGCTGAGCTCTCACATTCCAGGGCTCCCTCCGGTCTCCACCATGCTGGTGGCAAAGGATCACAGAGTCCACATTCATGCTTCTTGTCCTCATTTTCCACTTGACTTCCAGCAAGATTATAAACTGCTTTGAAGACAGGAGCTGTCTTGTTTTCAGAGACCTAATGCCAATCAGTGGTCCAGGCACACAGCCTCTTCAAAGAAGTCACGTGTTCCCTTCCTCCTCCACCATCAAGCACATATACTGGTCCATTCCATCCAACTAATCTATTGAACAACTATGCAAAGCATGCAAGGTGCCTACTGTATACTGGGTCTTGGGCATGTCCTGGTGATCAGCAATAGAAAAAAGTCCCTGCTCTCCTGGGTCTTACAGCCTAGCAGTGGAGAGAGATTAATCAAATACTTACAATAAAGATATGACTGCCCAGCCAGAAACAAGTAAGCCAAGGAAGGAAGCATTATTTATGAAAGATAAACCAAAGGGTTTGGACTGGTCTAATTAGTCAGGGAAAGTGACACTAATCTGAGATCTGAAGGATAGACAAGCATTTACTGACACACAGGAAAGATTCCAGACAAAGGGACAAGCATTTGGAAACAGATGCCTGAGTCCCATGGGAAGTTGCATCTTTCAATAGCAGGGAACATGTATTTATTGCCCAAATTTTTATAATAAAAGAATTGTTAATAATTATACTGAAAGACTAAGTGTCAATGACCATCCCAGGCCCCCCAGGCACATGGATGCATTGCCTCCTGCCTCTCCAGACACAAAAGGAACTTCAGCTTCTGCTGGAAGTTTCCAGAGACCTGAGACCTGGCCTGTCTTTGGACAGAGAGAAAACCCCAGGTGCATTCCAAGAATAGGGTGAGGCTGTGGCAGGAAGGACTGTCAGGACCCAGAGCTGTCATCAATCATCAGGAAACATGATCAGGATGTACAGGGAACTGGAGGAAGGTAAGCCGGTGTGGGGTGTGGCACCAGCTTTCAGTGTCTGAACCTGGCTCCCACACAGGTAGCTTTTGCAGATTTTCCATTGTCCCTGGCCACACAAGTCCTGCCTGCTTTAAGGAAAAGGGGCCTTTGGGATCCTGTGGCTTCTTTGAGTTTCTTTGGCTTTACCTCCTTGTGCAAAGGAGGCATTACTGGTACTTGGGGTGTGGGTAGATCCTCACAGGGAAAGAGAGCAAAAAAGAGAATTACGTCCTTCTGTCCCTCTGTCTGACTCTCAGACTATTAATACAAGCTCTGTGTCTGGCTGCACCCCCAAAACACATGCTCCCCACAACAAAACACCTCCCTTCCCAGCTAAGCTTGTAGTTTGTTCTGTTTCTGATTGGCGCCAGGCTCATAGATCCCTGTAGGTAGAATATAACTTTCTATAAATAGCCTCTAACCTGACCTACAATTTAGCATTTGGTTTTTTTTTTTACCCTCGTGGTAATGGTATGGTAGCCCTGGCTGATTCCTCCTAGATCTCTGAGACCCACAAAGCAGGCCCTAGGTATACTCATATTTGGATTCCTGGTTCCCCTTGTGTGTTGGGTTGAGAAATGGGGGCAGGGGTGGGGGGAGGTGGGAAATTCTCCACCACTGCAGGCAGTGGTGCACATGCTGCCTCAGGGCCTTCGGTTAGGCTGTGCCTTCTGCCTGCAAGGCCTGGGCCCACTTCTCTATCTGAAAAACCTGCAGCAGCAGCATCCACTTCTGTGAACACTTCCCTACTCATTATCCCTGGGGTTCACCTAGAGTTCTTGCCTGGTGCCCATGACACTTTGTACAAAACTGTGTGATCTGATTATTTGCCCACAGGATTAAAGGAGTGTCATGCCAGCAACTGAGCCCAGATTGGGCTGTGGGGAGAACATTTAATCTCTTAGAGCCTCGGTCTCAGATTCAAACACAAATCTGGCTCCAGAGCCCATGTCCCCACCCACTGTAGGGCACTGCCCATCAGGGTAGCTGATGTCTCCATTTCCTCCTCCCTGTTCTAGGACATTCCTCATGGAGTCCCTGCAGGGACTCACTAAGGCCTTGGGACCTGAAACCACAGGGAGGGGACCAGCCATCAACACAAACTGACACAAAAGACTTGGTGATGATAACAAATGAGGGTATTCATTGGGAGTTGAATTGAAGAGTCATTAGGAAGGACCATGTGAAGGATGGGTTCTCCAAAGATAGGCTGGGCTTGATTTTAATGGGCATCTCTTCTTATTGCAATGCATTTACTGAGTCCCAAGTAGTGTGAATCGTTAGTAGGCACCTTGGGGCAACAAGACTTTGAGAGTAGAGCCTGGTGTTTTCTCTGCTTTTGAAGATCTCACACAGGAAGGCATAAAATTCACAGTGGGAGAGAAGCTTCGCCAAGCTCCCTGTAAGCTGGTCTCTAACTGTGCTTGGCTTTGGGTTTAACCCAATAGTAAGCAGGGCTTGGCCAGGCAGGACAGGTTCTCCATGAGTGAACGTGGAATGGAAGACCTAGAATTAGGAACCAAAGTAGTGATATGGGCAGAAGAGGCAGGGACATCAGAGAAGAGAGGGCTCCTCCTGGGAGGGTCGGGGAATGGGAGACAAGTAACATGAACCCTAAAGAAAGAGTAGGACTTCTTGGGGCTGGCCAGTGGGGTCAGCAAACTAAGGGGGCAGGGGGCAGCACGGCCACTTGGAGTCATAAGGGGGTTTGGCAGAGTAGGACATGGGACACGAGCAGAAGACATTCCAAGTTGGACTGAGCTCACACTTGCTCCTGGGCGAGGAGGAACTTTGAAAGGACCTTGAACAGACGAGTGACATGGTGAAAACAACATTTTTGGAAGACAGTGTGGAGGGCAGGCTGCCTAAAGGAGACTGGGTGAGGGTTATGACAGTGACCCAGTGAGGGAATGAGGTCTAAGTTTGGAAAGGAAGGGACAAAACATGATTTTTCAAAGGAAGGACATAATTGCCACAAGGGCCACCAAAGTTGCCTCCAAGGTTTGGGCCTTGTGACCAAGGGTGTTAACTGACAGAAATGACATTGTGTGTGGTTGACAAAAATGAGACCACACCCTTCTGGTAACGACTCATTGTCTTTATTAATGCCTCTGGCCGCTGAAAGAACAGACTGTACCTCGTAAAGCAGTATTAACATTGTTGCGCTCTACAAGAAAACCTTTGCATAAATAACTTAAATGAGAAAATAAATATGTAACTTAACTCTTAAAAAAAACCAAAACACTACTTTCATTCTTGTGGACAAGTCCCACATGGAAGATTGCAAAACCCACCAGCCCTGCAGGCTTTCCTATGGCATGTGCTTCTGTTTAAGACCTTTTTTTCTTTCTTTTTTCTTTTAACAATTAAGAACTACACAGAAAGTAAGAGGTGTCTGGAAATGATTTTCAGAAAGATTTGTGGGTGGCAGTGATTATGCCTTGCAGTTTCTCTGCAATATGTACAGCACTTGCAATTCCCTCCCCCCAGAATATTCTTTCATGGAAGGCGTGCCAGCACATGTAAGAGCAGTGAGAAGCGATTTTTCTAGACAGAAATGTGTCCATGAGTGGCGGGCAGGAGGAAATGCTTCTAAAGGGACGTGACGGTCTTTGATGGACAGTGGCTGCAAGCCCAGTGTCCTCTGACCTTGAATGTCTCTGCAGAAAGTGACTTTAAAATACTGCAATGGGGCAGGGAAGTAACTTGCTCTTTAGGAATGGGGAAGGGGGTGGCATGATTTCTGTCTCTCCCACCATCTCTGGGACTTTGGTGATACTTCTTTGAGATGGAGGGGTGGAGGTAGCCAAACATCTGGGGAAGCCAGGCTGGGAAGCACAATTTTTCAGGAGTTTGTCAGTCATAAATAGACTTTCTTTTTTCCTGCTTGTTTTCCCTGGTTGTCAGACCAGAGCAACGCAACTCTTCTGAAACTCCTGAATTCTGGAACTGACCTTGACAGTGATTCAATCCAATCCTCCTCTCCTCCCCTCCCCCGCCCCGCCATTCAAAGGGCATCTCGTCCTGGGAATCATATTACAGTAGGGTCCAGGGAGATCCTAATCCCATTTTCACCCCCCCCACACACACACCCTATTTTACAAAGAGGATATGGAGGTTCCAAAAGAGAATTGCGTAGTCCAAGGTCACACAGCAAGTCAGTGGCAGAGCTAGGACCCTATCTAGTCCCGTGTTCTTGGTACACACAGACTTTACGATCGATGGGCAGAGAGAAGGGAGATTTTAGCGAACTTTCTTAACTCCTTGACCTCCCCACGACCCCCACTGCTCCCTTAAAACCCCAGGGCGGGGAGAATGCTTGCATTTCTGCTACCTCTGAAGTGGGACTAGCAGAAGTAGGCGGCCCCCCATAGGCGGGGCTGCGTGGCTCAGTGTCTGTGACTCAGTTCCCTCCCCTGCCCTCTGGGACCCCCTCGGCGGGCGAGGTGGGTTTTGAAGGCACCCGGGATTTCGCACCACCTGGGAGGTTTCGGCCCCCCGGCCCTGGGTTGCAGACATCTAAAATGAAATACAAACGGTGGAACCACGCGCAGGGGACAGAAACCCGGCGCCGCTGCGGGGGCGCGGGCGGGCTCTAATAGGCGTTCTCCAGCTCAGCCTGGTTGGCTTTAGCGCCCCGGGCGCGGGGTCGCGGCTTCCGACCCTTCTGCGGCCGCGCGGTCTCCGGCCCGAAGTCCTTGAGCTCCGACTGGTTGTGGAAGCGGGTGAGGCGCTTGCACTTGCACGAGGCCACCAGGCGCACCTTGCGCGCCCGTGGCGCCGCGCCGCCGGGACACAGCAGCTGCACGCGCTGCGCGCGGTAGCGGTCGGGGATGCATCGGAAGTCGGGCCCGCTCGGGCGCCACCACTTGCCGCGACCGATGGCGTTGGGCAGCAGGTGCGCGGGGCCGCACTGGCCCGAGCACACCAGCTCGGTGACTGGCTTGGCGCTGCGGCACGGCCCGTCAGTCACGTAGCGGGTGAAGTGCAGCTCGCGACAGCTGTACTCGGACACGTCTGCGGAGAGAGGCGTGTGTGAAGACTGCTGCCCAGCCCAGCCACCGCTCCCAAATCTGCCTCCCCTGCCCCTCTCCAGATGGGTTCGCATCTGTGCACCTGGTATAGGCAAGTCCTAGGTACTCTTGGAGCTGGTGGAAGATAGATCTCTGGTTCGCCCTTTCTCCTTGGAACCAGGTGACCTGCTGGGGTCAAACACCAGGACTCCCTCACTTACTCCCCGAGTTACCTCGGCGAATTACCTAACCTCTCTTCTGATCTGTAAAATGGGTTGCTCCAGGTCCAGTAAGTTCATCCACTACACGTGTAACGCCCAGAACACTATCTGACACATAGTGGGAGCTGGCAGTGGTGACTGTTAGAATGTACCATTACTCTTCTCCTAGCCGGCCCTCTTGGAATTTAAGCAATTGCTGTGCTGTAGGGTCCCTGGCCTGAGCAGGATTTCTATGAGCCACACCTTCCACAGGGCTCTGGCTTCTCCTAAATTCCTTTCCCAGATGCTTGGGAGGGGTGAACAGGAGATGGGGAAAGTAGAGGTCAATTTAAGGTAGTAAATCAGGACAGCTGCTGTGGAGGAGCGGGAAGAAGGGCAGGTGGTCAGGATAAGACTTCATTAGACTTGAAAGGAACCAAAGGCAGTAAGTCCAACCCCTCATTAAGAACCAGGACTCTGAGGTCCGGGGAGAGAAAAGAACTTGCCCGAAAGGCAGAGCTCCTGACTCCCCTCCCTAAAGTCCCAGCACCTTCTGGCTCTGGCAAGATGGAAGGATTTGCTCAGGTCCCCATAGGAGAGACCAGGCTGGGGTTGGACGTGAGAGGGTCAGAGGGCTGCTTTTACAATGACTGCTTCCCTACCAGAAAGGGACAGAGCTCTAACCCAAACCCTGCAGCATCAGCTGCCACAAGCATGTATTAAACACCTGCTGTGTACCAGACTCTTTGTTGCACAAATCTCTTGATTTGGGTTGCTTGAATGGGCACCTGATGGTGATAGAGGTGGTGGGTGGAAATTAGCTCTGAAGCTTGGCCTGGTCCCCTGGACACACCTTGACTGTGTCTCCTCCTGTAGGCTTAGATAAGTGAGAACTTTTTAAACAGCTAGTCCTCTTGTACGTACCTGTCCACCTCTAAAGGTTTCATGGCGACAGTTCCAATATGACCCAAAAGGATACAAAAACAAAAACAAAAAATAGTCCTAAGACCAAAACCAGAGAGGAGCAAAGAAGACTTGGCCCTGGAGAGCAAGCACGGCAGGGCTGATGTGGGCCTCGCCACCCTCCTGTGGCCGGCTTTCTGGTTTGGGGGCTGGTTTGGCATCCTGACCCCTGCAGAGGTGGTATGTGGGGGTGGCATGTTTGCCCAAGAAGAGAGTCATTTTGGAGCTTTCCAAGAGTAGTGCCCCTAGCTCAGGCACTTCCTCTGCAAAGCATGACTTTGTTTTGAGCGTGTGGCTGCCTCAGGGAATGTGATCTCTCATGGAAGCCCAAGGAGGTAAACACCTTTCATTCAAGGTCCCTGGCGGCAGGCCCGAGAGCAGTCATTTGAGCTCAGCCAGCCTTGTGTGGGGGAGCTGCGGTGGAGATGCTCTTGCTGTCCCACTTAGAAGACCTAGGTCCTGGCTGGCCTCTTCTGGGGTCATCCTTCCCCTACAGCCCCTGCTGGCTAAGGCAGGAGGTTCAGCGTGCAGCCATAGCCTGGGCAGGGGCCTTCTCTCCTACGTAGATAATGGCCAGTGGGCAGTGAAGCCCTCACTCTGCAGTGTCATTCCAACCCCCAGTCCCATGCCAGCCATTCTTGCCAGCTGTGCACATGGACTCCCAGGCTTCTCTGGATAGGCCTGACCAGGAACACAAATGTGGCCTCCATTGCCTTTTCCTGTTTCTTGGATCAGGCTCCCTCCCCAGGCATGAGACAAAGCCAGTACTGAGATGCAGGCTCAGGACAAGTGGTACCCCGTGTCCACTGCCCACACAGAGGCCTGCACTCAGCTGCCAACCATGTCAGAGGCTACAGCTCCAGCCCACTGGGTACACCATGGGCAAGGAGAGGTGAAGGGGGGCCTCTCTTGCTTTCCTTTCCCCACCCCTACCCCCACAGGGCTCTCTTGCAACTGGATCGAACTCGGTTCAAATCTCAGCTCTTCTGCTTATTACCAAGTAACTTCATTTTCAGAGACTCAGTTTCTTCACCTTCAACCTGGGACTTCCCTTCACACAGTTCCCATGAAGTGGATGTGTGGGATACAGTGTAGCCACAGTGTCTGGCATTCAGTGAGTGCTGCCACCCTTGTCCACCTGTGCCAGCAGCTCACCTTGCTCCTGTGTTCTCAAAAGGAGCCCCTTTGAACCTTTTTGTGAGACCCTATACCCTACCCAATTCAGCCTCCTTCCCAATTCAGCCTCCTCCCTGCCTTGGGCTCTTACTGCCAGCCTCCAGCCCTGCACTTGAATTCTGAGGTTGTGCTGGCTTGCCTGTAGGCAAGCCTGCCCCTCCACTGGTGTGGCAGAGGCAAATAGTCTCCCCATTCTTCAAAGCCTTCAAAGAGAAGATTCTAAAACTTCTCTGGCTACCTCCCAGTATCCTATGCTAACAGTTCTCTCCTCCATACATACCTTTGGCCTCAAATGGATGGTGGGGAGGCCTCCCTCCATTCTCTGCTCTGTTCATGGTCTTGTTGTTCTCCAGCTCCGGTGGGGGCTCGGGGTACTCTCCAAGATCAGGGATGATTTCTGTTGCGTCGTTCTTGAAGGCCTGCCACCCCTGGCCCTCCACAGCTTGGAAGGCTGCATGCACCAGCAAGCAGATGAGGCACAGAGCTAGAGAGATCTGCATGGTGCCAGCTGGAGGAGGTCACCCAGCCTTCCAGTAGTAGCACAGGCTCTGGGCCCCAGCCTAGACCCACCCGTCTTTTTAAAGCCCCCTCCACCTCATGCCAGCCAATGAGGATAGGCTGGGACAGGGCTGGTCCCATGTTTCCCTTAGCCCTGGGGGAGGGAAAGGGGTGTGCTCAGAGCAAAGACTGCTCAAGCTCAGCAAACTTCCAAATTACTGCTGGAACTCCCAGGTGACCCAGAGAGAGCAAGGCATGTGAGGCAAGGCCCAAGGCAGATCTCCAGGCGCCTCCCACATGCAGGCAGGCGACTGTGGTTTTCAGATATCAAAATGAGCTCCGGTTTTTAATTGTCTGCCTCCCCGGGCCCTCAGGCATTCTTAAAAAACTGTGGACCAGCCTAACAAAGAAAAACATGAAGCTCTGACTTCTCCACACTGATCCCAGCTGATCCTGTTCCTCAGGCCAAGTTCATTTGTCACCCCAACAAATGGTCCTATGGGTACCTGGTCCCCACAGACCCAGCCAAAGGCAGAAGGATACTTCTTTTGGTTTGGGGGTGCTGGGGATCAAACCAGGGTCTCACACATGCTAGGCAAGCACTCTACCACTGAACTACAACCCCAGCACCAAAAAGGATGCTTTTAAAGAAATCCCATCAGTCCCAACCCCGTGCAGCTCAGCACTGATTATCCTCACCAAGAAAATGTCTCTTAGCATTTTCTGCAAGGCAAGGGAGAAACCGGAGTGCCACAGCAAATGCCCACTGGATGAGAAGGTGGGATTCTGGCCACACGGGCTTTGGTGATGGAGCACAAAGAAGAAACCTCAACTCCTGCTCCTTGGGGACTCTGCACATGGTGACAGGCACTTCTCAGCCAGGGCACACTGTGGCTCACAGGCTGATGTGCCAATGGCAGGTTGACACATCCCAGGCTATGCTTTGGTGTGGACAACACAAAATCCCATTTCTTAGCAAAAGCCAAGGCCAGCACTTTTAGGGCTGACATTTTTCCCCCTTGATACTCAGCCCATTTTATTTTTCAAAATCAACTTTGAGTCCTATATGGAAGACCACTGTAGTGTGTACCACAGTGTATTCCAGGAAGCCACCCTGGTTCCATCTAGGCACAAAGAAACCAAAAGAAATTGGTAGCTCAGCCCGGAGGGCTGAGGGAGGGGTAGAGGTGAGAGGCAGGAAGGTTCACACCCAAGGTGCAAGAAAAGAAAGGAAGGCCTGCGGAAGCCATCACTGGCGATGGATTGCTGGAGGCCGCCCTAGCCCCAGGAGGGGGGATGGGAAGATGGTTGTGGTCCAGATCGCCTGGCATGCTAGCTGGGTGATGAATCAGTGTGCCTCACCTGCAGAGCCTCCACAAGGCTTTGCCACCTGCCTCAACTTGTAAGTCGCGGTGTCCATCTGTGGCCCACTTTTTTCCATCATCCATCACCCAACACATGAATGCAGCTGCACTGACAGTTTTACAAGCCAGACAGAAGCCCCTACAGGAAGGGCCCTTTCTGATACCTGCTTCCTAAGTCAGTTTCCTTCGGGGCAGACAAAAACAGCTGTGGCCATTGTTGGGAGTGATCTATCTCTCCCAACAGAGTCACGATATTGTGAGAAGCTGGCCCTCCGTGCCCCTTCCTTTTGTCTGTGACCCCTCACTCCAGCCTCCTTTTCCCCTGCTCTGGAATGTGGACAGTTAACCCTGTCCCAGCCAGACAACTGCCTTCTTGACCTGAAGTTCCAAGAGGCAGGTCCCATGCCAGCTGTTCCTCCAGCACTCCCTTGATGCTCAGAGCCCCACCTGCCGGTGGACACTGTCAGACCAGCCTCCTTAAGCAGTGGCTGGGTTAGGTTCTTGGAACACTTCTGCCATCTCCTGGACACAAAAGGAAGAGCCAGGGAGGATGGCCAGGCTCAGGATTTTATTTTCAGTTTATTGTTCGGAACTGAAGTAGTATTCAAACAAAAGAGACCGAAGTGGACTTCTGTATGATCCCCATCTCTCTGAATTGTCCTCTGTCCGTAGGTAACCTTTGCTTTTCATAGGATGACTCAGGAGAATCTACTAAGATGTCTGTAATCTGTTTTTTTCTTTTTCTTTTTTCTTTTTTCCAACCCTAAATAGAGTTTTGAAGTCAGGGCTTTGCATTTGCTAGGTGGGTGCTCTACCATTTGAGACACTCCACCAGCCCTTTCTGCATTGGTTATTTTTGAGATAGGGTCTCGTTTTATGCCTGGGCAGGCCTGGACTGTGATCCTCCTATTTGTGCTTCTCTGCATAGTTGGGGATGGCAGATCCCTGTCACCATGCCCAGCTATTGGTTGAGTTGGGGGGGAGGGTCTCACAAACTTTTTGCCAGGGCTGGCCTTGAACTGTGATCCTCCCGATTTCTGCCTCCCAAGGAGCTAGGATTATAGATGTGACCCATAATGCCTGGCCTGTCATCTGCTTTTTAATTTAATGTGAAGTCACAGGTATCTCCTGTATTTACTCTGCTTTACAACTTTGTCATTGTTCAGAATTAAACAGCATTCTCTGGAGTTAAACCCTCAGGATTTTAGTTAATCCCTGTTGAAGATGGTTTTGGTTATTTTGAATCTTCTGTTCTCAGCAAGACTGCTGGGAACATCCTTGTATGAAGTAATTTTTAATTTTAAATTTGTGAAAGAATTGTAAATTCACATGTACTTGTAAGAAATAATACAGAGAGGTTTTGCATGCCCTCTACCAAGTTTCTCCCAATGGTTACATCTTGCAAAACTATAATTCAGTGTCACACCCAGGATACTGATACAATCGACCAATGTTATTCCAAGCACCCCAGTATGTACGACAATATACTCATTCATGTGTGCTCACGCATGTGTATTTAGCTCTACACAATGTTATCACTTGCATAGATCTGCCTATCCAACATCACAGTCACAGCTCCTTGACCACAAGGACACAAAGGTCCCTCCTGTTGCTTTTTTTTTTTTTTCCTTTTTGGTGGTACCAGGGTTTGAACTCATGGCCTCACACTTGCTAGGCAGGCACTCTACCACTTGAGCCACTCTGCCAACCCTTCTCCACTTGCCTCCTTCACTGGCCTTCTCTGCTCCTAACCCCTGTCAATCACTAATCTACGCTCCATTTCTGTAACTTAAAAAATGTTACCAATGGAATCAATAAGTGGAATTGAGAGGGTTTTTTTTCCCACAACGTAACTCCCTGAAGCATAATCCAAGTTGTATGGATCAATTACTTACTCCTTTTTAGTGCTAGTAATATTCCACAAAGTACATTTTCTATTGCTGTTCCTTTGGGGTTATTTCCACAAGTGGACACTGTGCTTTGAGGAGTTTGGTATGTCTTGCTACCTATGACTGGCTATTCTCCAGAAAGCCTGGCCAGGCCCCCAAATCCACCAGCAACATAGAAGAAGGGATGTGCAGTAGTCTGCCAGGGATGCAGTCACTAAGTACCATACTCTGGGGGCTTAAATAGCAGAAGCTTGTCTCACAGTGTTGGAGACCGGAAGGCCAAGGTCAAGACGTTGGCGGGGCTGGCTCCTTTTGAGGGCTGCAAGGGAGTCCATTCCCATCCTCTCCCCCAGCTCCTGCTGGTCACTGACTATCCTTAGTACCCTTGGCTTGTAGAAGCATCACCTTGAGCCCGAGCCTTCATGTTCACATGGTATTCTCTATGTCCAAATGTCCCCCTTTTGTTTTTATAAGGACACCAATCATAATGGATAAGGACCTCACCTTAACTAATTCTATTTGTAACAGCCCTATTTCTAATAAGGTCACATTCTGAGGTGCTGGGGGTTAGGATTTTGACATGAATTTTGGGAAGACCAAGTTCAATCCAGAATGCATGCTTCTCCACAAAGCTGTCAAGGCTAGACTTAGGCTGCAAAGTTTTGAATATGAAATTTAATAATTGTATCTTTAATTTCCAGAGAAGCTATTTTTCCAGCCTGTTCAAATGTCCACTTGGCAAACATTTAATGAGGCAAAGGAAACACGCACTTCCCCCATCCCCAGCCCCCAAATCAGGGAGAGAGAAGTTCTTATCCTAATAACTCCAACACCAGGTAGAAAGTGGCTTGACCACTAAGAAAAGGTTCAGTTGCTTAAAAAAAAAGAAAAAAGACCAGGGCTGGGGATATGGGTAGAGCTTTGCCTACCATACTGGACACCCTGGGTTTTATCCTCAACACTGTAGAGCAAACAAAAAAAGACTTAACTCGGGACTTTGCACTTACAAAGCAGGCGCTCTACCACTTGAGCCACACCTCCAGTCCATTTTGCTCTGGTTATTTTGGAGATAGGGTCTCATGAACTATTTGCCCAGGCTGGCTTCTAATCGTGATCCTCCCAATCTCAACCTCCCAAGTAGCTAGGATTACAGGTGTAAGGCACTGGTGCCCAGCTATTTATTTTTGTGCTGTGCTGGGGATGAAACTCAGGGCCTTCTGCATGCTAGACAAGCAGCCGTGCCACTGGGCGATTCAGCCCTAAGACTTTACTTTTTTAAAGAGCACTTTTCAATTCCCAGCAAAATTGGGTGGAAGGCACAGATATTTCTCATGTACCAGATTGTCTTCTATCCCCAGCACACACAGCCCTGCCCATGATCAATGTCCCCTGCCAGGGTGGTACATCTGTTCCTGACCACAAACCTGCACTGACACATCATTGCCAGGCAGAGTCCTCAGCTTACATTACAGTTCATTCTCGGCATGGGTTTGGACCTATGGGTTGCATCCACTAGATGGAGTGTCATACAGAGTATTTTCACCCATCCTCATCCCCCACAATTCTCTGCTCTCCACCTATTCACCCCCTCACTCCCTCCTCTGACTTCTAGCAACCACTGACCTGTTTCCATAACAGATTTTGCCTTTTCCAGAAAACTAGACTCACACAGTGTGTATTCTTTTCAGATTGGCTTCTTTCACTTAGTAACATGGTTACCAATTCCTCCAGGTCTTTTCGTGGCATGATAACTCATTTCTCATTT